AGAACTGGTCTCAAGAACCCTTTTTGGGGAGCCTTAAAACCGAGCTCCCTGGGTGCAGCTGGCCCGAGCACACCATCTGCTTTCCATGTGGCCAGCACACCTCAGAACACACCTGGGTTTGCAGGTGAGATTTAGAATGGGCCCCGTCTGCAGTTCCAGGTACTGTCTTAAGTGCTGACACAGCCTCTGCCTTCGGAGCCATATGCTGTGGTGAAGATTTAGATGTTATCACAAAAGTTATCTGTAAACAGTGTCAGGTAGCAATGTAACTCATCACCAGAGGAGCTATTTAGGTAGTCAGTGGCAGCCTTTCTGAGACAATAACAAACTGAGGCCATGGCCACAGTTCCAGAGTTGGGAGCAGGGATAGCGAATCGGGGTGGGGACCTTACAGGCAAAGGAGCAAAGGCCCAAAGGCTGAGATTAGCTTATCTTTTTGTGAGCAGAGAAGAGCCAGGTGTGGGTAGAAGTTATAAAGAAAAGTGGGATAAACTTACATTAAGAGACAGGCAGAGAGGAAGAACATTCACAGCCTTTTAAAATGTTTTTTTTTCTCTGGTATCTATCTACAATTACCTTAAGAACATTATGTTTATTTGGCTCCCGTCTTCACGAAGTACCCCGCACAAACTCCATTAGAGTCACTGTCCATGAGCATAGTAACATGCTGTAGAATCACTACTTGTCTTCTGTGTGTAGTTTAGCCCTGCCTGTGCCCCCCCACATTGTACATTCTAATCATAATGCCCCCTTTCTTTTGCCCTGCCGTTATCTCTCCCTTCACACCCATCCTCCTCAGGCCTTTTCTCTTTGGTAACTGTTAGTCCATTCTTGGGTTCTGTGATTCTGCTGCTGTTTTGTTCCTTTAGTTTTTCCTTTGCTCTTATACTCCTGAGATGAGTGAAATCATTTGGTACTTGTCTTTCTCCACCTCGCTTATTTGACTGAGCATAAACCCCCCTATCTCCAACCATGTTGTTGCAAATGGTAGGATTCTTTTTCTTCTTAAGGATTAATTATATTCCATTGTGCATACATTCATCTACTGATGGACACGTAGGTTTTTTCCATTTCTTGGCTGTTGTAAATAGTGCTGCGATAAACATAGGGGTACATCTGTCTTTTTCAAAATGGGCTGCTGTGTTCTTAGGGTAAATTGCTAGGAGCCGTATTCCTGGGTCAAATGGTATTTCTATTTTGAGCTTTTTGAGAAACCTCCACATTGCTTTCCACAATGGTTGAACGAATTTACATTCCCACCAACAGTGTAGGAGGGTTCCCCTCTCTCCACAACCTTGCCAACATTTGTTGTGCTTTGTCTCTTGTATGGTGGTGATCCTTACTAGTGTGAGGTGATATCTCATTGTCGTTTTAATTATCATTTCTCTGATGACAAGTGATGTGGTACATCTTTTCATGTGTCTATTGGCCACCTGAATTTCTTCTTTGGAGAACTGCCTGTTCAGATCCCCTGCCAACATTTTCATTGGAACATTTGCATTTTGTTGGTTGAGGTGTTTTAGCTGTTTATATATTTTGGATGTCAACCCTTTATTGCATCTGTCATTCATGAATATATACTCCCATACTCTGGATGCCCTTTTGTTCTATTCATGGTGGCCTTAACTGTACAGAAGCTTCAAAGCTTGACATAGTCCCATTTGTTCATTTTTCCTTTCTTTCCCTGGAGAGATATGTTGACGAAGAAGTCACTCATGTTTATGTCCAAGATATTTTCGCCTGTCTTTCTCTAAGAGCTTTATGGTTTCTTGGCTTACTTTCAGGGGTTCGGTCAATTTTGAATTTACTTTTGTGTAAGGGGTTAGACAATGATCCATGTTTGCTCCTTTTTTGCAGCCATCACCTCCGGCTTTGGAGCTGTGACCCAGCCCACCAGCTATGGGACCAGTACATCCGGTTTTGGCAGCACCATCTTAGCGCCCTTCACATCTATGGTGTCAGCATCCCCCACTGGCAGTGGGGACTTTGGGACACGTGTGCCTGCCCCCCACAACAGCTCCACCACTGGGCCATTGGGCTTTGGGGCAGCACGGAGTGGGAGAACTGGTCTCAAGAACCCTTTTTGGGGAGCCTTAAAACCGAGCTCCCTGGGTGCAGCTGGCCAGAGTACACTATCTGCTTTCCATGTGGCCACCACACCTCAGAACACTCCTGGGTTTGCAGGTGAGATTTCGAATGGGCCTCGTCTGCAGTACCAGGTACTGTCTTAAGTGCTGACACAGCCTCTGCTTTCGGAGCCATATGCTGTGGTGAAGATTTAGATGTTTTCACAAAAGTTATCTGTAAACAGCGTCAGGTAGCATTGTAGCTCATCACAGGAGGAGCTATTTAGGTAGTCACAGGGAGCCTTTCTGAGACAATAACAAACTGAGGCCATGGCTGCAGTTCCAGAGTTGGGAGCAGGGAGAGCGACTGGGGGTGAGGACCTTACAGGCCCAGGAGCAAAGGCCCAAAGGCAGAGATGAGCTTATGTTTTTGTGAGCAGAGAAGAGCCAGGTGTGGCTAGAGGTTATAATGGAAAGTGGGATAAACTGACATTAAGAGACAGGCAGAGAGGAAGAACATTGATGGCCTTTTAAAATGTTTTTTATTCCTCTGTTATCTATCTACAATTACCTTAAGAACATTATGTTTATTTGGCTCCCCTGTTCACCAAGGACCCCGCACAAACCCCATTAGAGTCACTGTCCATGAGCATAGTAACATGCTGTAGAATCACTACTTGTCCTCTGTAGTGTAGCCTAGCCTTCCCTGTGCCCCCCTCCCCACATTATACATGCTAATCATAATGCCCCCCTTCTTTTGCACTGCCATTATCTCTCCGTTCCCACCCATCCTCCTCAGTCCCTTTCTCTTTGGTAACTGTTAGTCCATTCTTGGGTTCTGTGATTCTGCTGCTGTTTTGTTCCTTCAGTTTTTCCTTTGCTCTTATACACCTGAGATGAGTGAAATCATTTGGTACTTGTCTTTCTCCGCCTCGCTTATTTCACTGAGCATAATCCCCCCTATCTCCAACCATGTTGTTGCAAATGGGAGGATTCGTTTTCTTCTTAAGGATTAATTATATTCCATTGTGCATACATTCATCTACTGATGGACACGTAGGTTTTTTCCATTTCTTGGCTGTTGTAAATTGTGCTACGATAATCATAGGGGTACATCTGTCTTTTTCAAAATGGGCTGCTGTATTCTTAGGGTAAATTGCTAGGAGCCATATTCCTGGGTCAAATGGTATTTCTATTTTGAGCTTTTTGAGAAACCTCCATATTGCTTTCCACAATGGTTGAACAAATTTACATTCCCACCAACAGTGTAGGAGGCTCCCCTCTCTCACAACCTTTCCAACATTTGTTGTTCTTTGTCTCCCTGATGGTGGCGATCCCTACTGGTGTGAGGTGATATCTCATTGTGGTTTTAATTTTCATTTCTCTGATGACAATTGATGTGGTACATCTTGTCATGTGTCTATTGGCCACCTGAATTTCTTCTTTGGAGAACTGCCTGTTCATATCCCCTGCCAACATTTTCATTGGAACATTTGCATTTTGTTGGTTGAGGTGTGTTAGCTGTTTACATATTTTGGATGTCAACCCTTATTGCATCTGTCATTTATGAATATATACTCCCATACTCTGGATGCCCTTTTGTTCTGTTCATGGTGCCCTTAACTGTACAGAAGCTTCTAAGCTTGACATAGCCCCATTTGTTTATCTTTCCTTTCTTTCCCTGTAGAGATATGTTGACGAAGAAGTCGCTCATGTTTATGTCCAAGATATTTTCGCCTGTCTTTCTCTAAGAGTTTTATGGTTTCTTGGCTTACTTTCGGGGGTTCGATCAATTTTGAATTTACTTTTGTGTAATGGGTTAGAGAATGATCAATGTTTGCTCCTTTTTTGCAGCCATCACCTCCGGCTTTGGAGCTGTGACCCAGCCCACCAGCTGTGGGACCAATACATCCGGGTTTGGCAGCACCATCTCAACGCCCTTCACATCTATGGTGTCAGCAATCCCCACTGGCAGTGGCGGCTGTGGGACTCGCATGCCTGCCCCCCACAGCAGCTCCACCACTGGGACACTTGGGTTTGGGTCAGCACGGAGTGGGAGAACTGGTCTCAAGAACCCTTTTTGGGGATCCTTAAAACCGGGCTCCCTGGGTGCAGCTGGCCAGAGCACACCATCTGCTTTCCATGTGGCCAGCACACCTCAGAATACTCCGGGGTTTGCAGGTGAGATATGGAATGGGCTCAGTCTGCAATGCCAGGTGCTGTCTTAAGTGCTGACACAGTCTCCGCTTTCGGAGCCATATGCTGTGGTGAAGATTTAGATGTTTTCACAAACGTTATCTATAAACATCGTTAGGTGGCAGTATAACTCATAACTGGAGGAGCTATTTAGGTCGTCAGCGGCAGCCTTTCTGAGGCAAAGGCATCCTGAGGCCATGGATGCAGTTCCAGATTTGGAAGCAGGGACAGTGGCTGTTGGTGAGGACATTACAGGCACAGAAGCAAAGGCCCAAGGGCAGAGATGAGCCTATGTTTTTGTGAGCAGAGAAGAGCCAGGTGTGGCTAGAGGTTATAAAGGAAAAGTGGGATAAACTGACATTAAGAGACAGGCAGAGAGGAAGAACATTCACGGCCTTTTAAAATGTTTTTTTTCTCTCTGGTATCTATCTACAATTACCTTAAGAGCATTATGTTTATTTGGCTCCCCTCTTCACCAAGTACCCCGCACAAACCTCATTAGAGTCACTGTCCATGAGTATGGTAACATGCTGTAGAATCACTACTTGTCTTCTGTGTGTAGCCTACCCCTCTCTGTGCCCCCCCACATTAGACATGCTAATCATAATACCCCCTTTTTCCCTGCCCTTGTCCCTCCCTTCCCACCCATCCTCCTCAGTCCCTTTCTCTTTGGTAACTGTCAATCCATTCTTGGGTTCTGTGATTCTGCTGCTTCTTTGTTCCTTCAGTTTTTCCTTTGCTCTTATTCTCCTCAGATGAGCGAAATCATTTGGTACTTGTCTTTCTCCGCCTCGCTTATTTCACTGAGCATAATCCCCCCTATCTCCAACCATGTTGTTGCAAATGGGAGGATTCGTTTTCTTCTTAAGGATGAATTATATTCCATTGTGCATACATTCATCTACTGATGGACACGTAGGTTTTTTCCATTTCTTGGCTGTTGTAAATAGTGCTGCGATAAGCATAGGGGTACATCTGTCTTTTTCAAAATGGGCTGCTGTATTCTTAGGGTAAGTTCCTAGGAGTGGTGTTCCTCTGTCACATGGTATTTGTATTTTGAGCTTTTTGAGGAACCTCCATATTGCTTCCCAGAATGGTTGAACAAATTTACATTCTCACCAACAGTGTAGGAGGTTTCCCCTCTCTCCACAACCTTGCCAACATTTGTTGTGCTTTGTCTTTTGTATGGTGGTGATCCTTAGTGGTGTGAGGTGATTTCTCATTGTGGTTTTAATTTTCATTTCTCTGATGACAAGTGATGTGGTACATCTTGTCATGTGTCTATTGGCCACCTGAATTTCTTCTTTGAAGAACTGCCTGTTCAGCTCCCCTGCCCACGTTTTCATTGGAACATTTGCATTTGGTTGGTTGAGATGTGTTAACTCTTTATATGTTTTGGATGTCAACCCTTTATTGGATCTGTCATTTATGAATATATTCTCCCATACTGTAGGATGCCCTTTTGTTCTGTTCATGGTGCCCATAACTGTACAGAAGCTTTTAAGCTTGACATAGTCCCATTTGTTCATTTTTCCTTTCTTTCCCTGGAGAGATATGTTGATGAAGAAGTCGCTCATGTTTATGTCCAAGATATTTTTGCCTGTCTTTCTCTTAGAGTTTTATGGTTTCTTGACTTACTTTCGAGGGTTCGATCAATTTTGAATTTACGTTTATGTAAGGGGTTAGACAATGATCCATGTTTGCTCCTTTTTTGCAGCCATCACCTCCGGCTTTGGAGCTGTGACCCAGCCCACCAGCTGTGGGACCATACATCCGGGTTTGGCAGCACCATCTCAACGCCCTTCACATCTATGGTGTCAACAGGCCCCATTGGCAGTGGTGGCTCTGGGACTCGCATGCCTACCCCCCACAGCAGCTCCACCACTGGGGCATTTGGCTTTGGGGCAGCATGGAGTGGGAGAACTGGTCTCAAGAACCCTTTTTGGGGAGCCTTAAAACCGATCTCTCTGGGTAGAGCTGGCCAGAGCAGACCCTCTCCCTTCCAC